CCAGAGAGACCAGAGAAATAGACCAGAGAGTAAGTAAGTAAGTAAGTAATCTTTATTTGTATAGCACCTTTCACAGGCAAAGGCCACAAAGTGCACCAGAGAGTAACCAGAGAAGGGACCAGAGAGTGAGAACAGAGTCCAGGGAGGGAACAGAAAGAGACCAGAGAGAGAGACCAGAGAGAGAGACCAGAGAGAGAGACCAGAGAGAGACCAGAGAGGGACCACAGAGAGACCAGAGAATGAGGGCAGAGAGAGACCAGGGATGGACCAGAGAGAGACCAGAGAAGAACCAGAGAAGAACCAGAGAGGGACCAGAGGGACCAGAGAGGGACCAGAGAGGGACCAGAGAGGGACCAGAGAGTGAGAGCAGAGAGTCCAGAGAGAAAACAAAGATTAAGTAATCTTTATTGTCTTTACTTCAAACCTGTGAACAACAGATACAGAGAGACAAGGTTTGAAACACACTCCACATTGTAACCCAGGAGCTCAACAACACTGACCTATAAACTTGAGGCACAACAAGCTATTTCTTCAAAGAGACATCTTATTTTGTTACCTAAATAACAGTCTTTGAGATTTTAATTCAGTTTTGATTAATCTACTTAGAAGACAGTTTGAATCTTCCTAAACTCATAAATGTATGTCGAGTTTCTTGAGTTGAGTTGGCGAACCACACCTTTCTCCGCTCCCTCTGGCTCCAAACTCATTCAGGAAACTAAATGAATATTGTAGGGAAACATAAGAGACGGGAACATCACCAAAGGCAGGATTTAAAACGTGTGAGTGAATAAAAGCGTGGGAAAAGTCCATTTTTTGGCAAATTCTTGGTGGAAGAAGTTGATCCAATGGAAAACTATTAGCTGCTGCTCACATTTGATTTCTTTTCACTAAAATCTTGGTATTTCGTCCCACAGGAGACGAGACGTTTATGGTGTCTGTCCCAAACTTTAATTTTTCTATAAATGGGTGTTTTAAGAGTCACAAATAGCACAAAAAGTGAATGTTTCCCTCTGCCGGAAGAGATGAAATACATTGTTTTTAGTAAGACCTAGAGCATGCTGCTAACCTTAGAGATAGAGTTCTCGCATTTTACTAAACCTTTCAAAATAAGTCCAGAGAGAGACCAGAGGGGGACCAGAGGGAGACCAGAGAGAGAGACCAGAGGGAGACCAGAGGAAGACCAGAGAGAGAGACCAGAGGGGGACCAGAGAGGCACCTGAGAGGGACCAAAGAGAGAGAGAAGAGAGAGACCATTGAGAGACCAGAGAGAGACCAGAGAGAGACCTGAGAAAGACCAGAGAGAGACCAGAGAGAGACCAAAGAGAGATAGAAGAGAGAGACCAGAAAGACTCTGTAGAGAGACCAAAGAGAGAGACCAGAGAGACCAGAGATAACCAGTGATGTTAGTACCAAAATGTCTTTCCAATGAATAGAAGGAATGGTCCTCTGTGACTCCATCCGGCTAAACAACAGATGAGGCAGTTGACCACAGCACAAATCTGTCTGACCAACTCCACATAAACAGTCCTGTTACGAAGCGCCGTTGGACAGAGATCGTTGCTATGACGGCTTTGAATGAGCAGCAAAAATAGTCATAGTTGAAAGTGGTGACGAGAAGCAGAAGTTGTGTTTTTGGGGGATGGGCAACACACTCAATCTGTGCCGTAAACCATTAAACTAATGCTAATGCTGCTACTACTGCTACTGCTACTGCTGCTACTGCTAATACTGCTACTGTTGCTACTACTGCTACTGCTACTGCTACTGCTGCTAATGCTGCTAATACTGCTACTGCTGCTACTACTGCTACTGCTACTGCTACTGCTGCTAATGCTGCTAATACTGCTACTGCTGCTAATACTGCTACTGCTACTGCTGCTACTGCTACTACTGCTGCTACTACTACTGCTACTGCTACTGCTGCTACTGCTACTACTGCTGCTACTGCTGCTACTACTGCTACTGCTACTGTTGCTACTATTGCTACTGCTGTTACTACTATTGCAACTGTTGCTACTGCTGCTACTGCTGCTACTGCTACTGTTGCTACTGCTGCTACTACTGCTAATACTACTGCTGATACTGTTGCTACTGCTGCTACTACTGCTACTGCTACTGTTACTACTGTTGCTACTGCTGCTGTTGCTACTACTGCTGCAACTGCTACTACTACTGTTGCTACTGCTGCTACTACTGCTGCTACTACTGCTGCTGCTGCACCAACTGCTACTGCTACCGCTGGGAAAAGGCTTTATGTGAGAGAAGAAGAAGGAGAAGGAGAGGACAGCGATTGTACAGAGAGAGAGACGCTGAATTATTGATGTGGCTCCAAGTCGCAGCGAGTCGTAAAAATGAGGATCCTTCAGACTCAGAGAAGAAGCAGTTTTAACAGTTCAGTTCAGAGAGCAGCGAGAGGCGAGGGGTCAGGAGAGGCCAGAGGGGGGAGAGGGGGGAGAGGGGGGAGAGAGAGGGGCACAGAGACATGTGGGGAGCACCTGTTCACCAATTACAAGCGGCTTAGAGATTCATTATAAAGGTCAAAACGCAAGAATAACATGTTTATTTTCAGGGCTATAATTACCTTTCAGAGAAGTTGAATAGATATTTTGCAAGTGCCATAGAGATATAACTGAAAGCTTGTAATCTACTTAATTTGAGCCCATTTTAACTGCCTTAAAACAACTTTGGCAAATTATCTTGTTTAAAGATATACAAGAAAGGTTTCTCTTGGAATCAGAAATAAAGCAACAGTTCTTAAAAAAAAACTTATTTCTTCTTTATGTTAAAAGACAGTCAGATTATGAGCTCATATTTTTACATTTTTTGAAACACAGATGTATTGTAGTGCCATAAAAATAAAGTTTCTCTCGTTCTGGAGCAAATCCTTTCAAATGTGAAACCTGAAAGAGACCTGAGCGAGACCGGAAATAGACCAGAGAGAGACCAGAGAGAGGCCAGAGAGAGACCAGAGAGAGACCAGAAAGAGACCAGAGAGAGACCAGAGAGAGGCCAGAGAGAGGCCAGAGAGAGACCAGAGAGAGACCTGAGAGAAAGACCAGAGAGAGACCAAAGAGAGACCAGAGAGAGACCAGAGAGAGACCAAAGAGAGACCAGAGAGAGACCAGAGAGACCAGAGAGAGACCTGAGAGAGACCTGAGAGAGACCAGAGAGAGACCAGAGAGACCAGAGAGAGAGAGACCAGAGAGGGAGACCAGAGAGGGAGACCAGAGAGAGAGACCAGAGAGGGACCAGAGAGGGACCAGAGAGGGAGACCAGAGAGGGAGACCAGAGAGAGAGACCAGAGAGGGACCAGAGAGGGACCAGAGAGGGAGACCAGAGAGAGAGACCAGAGAGAGACCTGAGAGAGACCAGAGAGAGAGACCTGAGAGACCAGAGGGAGACCAGAGAGAGAGAGACCAGAGAGGGAGACCAGAGAGAGAGAGACCAGAGAGAGAGACCAGAGAGAGACCAGAGAGGGAGACCAGAGAGGGAGACCAGAGAGAGACCAGAGAGAGAGACCAGAGAGAGAGACCAGAGAGAGAGACCAGAGAGAGAGAGACCAGAGAGGGAGACCAGAGAGGGAGACCAGAGAGAGACCAGAGGGAGACCAGAGAGAGAGACCTGAGAGAAAATAAAACTTATTTCTTCTTTATGTTAAAAGACAGTCAGAATGTTCTCAAATTAAGGCAAAAACCACCTGGTTCAAGCAATTATGAGCTCATATTTTAACATTTTTTGAAACACACATGTATTGTAGTGCCATAAAAATAAAGTTTCTCTCGTTCTGGAGCAAATCCTTTCAAATGTGAAACCTGAAAGAGACCTGAGCGAGACCGGAAATAGACCAGAGAGAGACCAGAGAGAGGCCAGAGAGAGACCAGAGAGAGACCAGAAAGAGACCAGAGAGAGGCCAGAGAGAGGCCAGAGAGAGGCCAGAGAGAGACCAGAGAGAGACCTGAGAGAAAGACCAGAGAGAGACCAAAGAGAGACCAGAGAGAGACCAGAGAGAGACCAAAGAGAGACCAGAGAGAGACCAGAGAGACCAGAGAGAGACCTGAGAGAGACCTGAGAGAGACCAGAGAGAGACCAGAGAGACCAGAGAGAGAGAGACCAGAGAGGGAGACCAGAGAGGGAGACCAGAGAGAGAGACCAGAGAGGGACCAGAGAGGGACCAGAGAGGGACCAGAGAGGGAGACCAGAGAGGGAGACCAGAGAGAGACCAGAGAGGGACCAGAGAGGGAGACCAGAGCTCATATTTTAACATTTTTTGAAACACACATGTATTGTAGTGCCATAAAAATAAAGTTTCTCTCGTTCTGGAGCAAATCCTGTCAAATGTATTGCCAATAACAAAACGTGTTGAAGACTGAAGCTCGAGGAAAACAACATTTTGACACATTTTCTAAACTGTGATTTTGGTTTTTGCCAATGAACTAATTTAATAAATGATGAGTACCATAAACACACACACACACACACACACACACACACACACACAGTGCATATAAATCATCTCCAAGTTTTTTAATTGGTGGAGAAATTATTGTTTCCATATAAACTAAGGGCATTTATAGTTATTTTATTGACACTTACAATTTGATTTTAGATCTATTTCTTTTATATGATGCAGGAGGGTCCAAGGACAGCAGTGATGATCCAGGACAGTCCACATTCAACGACATGTATGGACATTGGTCTCTGCCGCTTATGGACCAATGGCTCTGTGTGTTTTTTTTATCAGTGCATTTCTTGAGTTTGATTCTCTGATCTGTGTTGGCAAATCAACAGTTTTGTAAAGTCCTCTGACATAACTGCTGCTGTGATTTAGGGCCGTCTGAAACCTACGCAGACACGGGGAGAACATGCAAACTCCACTCAGAAAGGCCCTGGTCCGACCGGGATTCGAACCCAGGACCTTCTTGCTGAGAGGCGAGAGTGCTATCCACTCAGCCACCGTGCCGCCCTTAGAACGTCTAGACTCTAGTGTCTCCCATAAGCACTCAAGTCTTCCGTGACCAAACCAGGCGTCCCCACCTCTCCCAGCGACACAGAATGATCCATGAATTCAAACCATCCTCGCAGCCGTCCAAGAAGCGATGGTCCGACCGTGGCGATGGTCCGATCGTGGCGTTAGCATCTGTAGCCTGCAGAATGTGAGCTATGACAACCATGTGCAGAACAGAGCTGGTGATTGTGAGGAAGTGCCACAATGGAGATGGACACTGAGGGAACTATAGACCCTTTCTCACCACCGCTCACTCGGAAAACTACTGCTGACAAAGGCTCCCACAGACACAGCAGGAGTCCCAACATGTGGACTGGGAACAAGCAAAGATGGCGGAAAACAATTCAAGTCTCCTCAGAGTCGTCTTGTCTATGGATCAGGGGTGTGGAACTCATTTTAGTCAGGGGTTAAGTTTAAAACAAAAAAAAAGGTGGTTTATTACTATTATTATTATTATTATTATTAGTTTGGATTTTTTTTCTAGTAAGTTTGGATTCGATCACAGCTGGCCTAAGTTTACAAAAATATTGAAATTGAAGATTCATAGTTAGATATACAGTAGGTCCCATTTCGTTTTGTCGTCTTCATTCACGCTTTTCATGAATCACGCAGCTGCGTGAAACATATTACATCTTATCGCCACAAGGTGGCAGGTTAAGTCCGCTTTAGCTCTGCCAGCGACTTAAACGCTCAGGTATAACTCTGCGTGCAAACGTTATTTGCCTAGTGATACTATGTTGGCCGAATGGTTTGAGTTGCAGGTTAGGACTTGGGGGATCTCTGTTCGATTCTTGTCTGTGGCAATTTTGGTTGCACACCTTTTGGTTGCTTGTGTGCAATTACGTAACGTTATCAGCTTGTTATCTTCTTTCCTTGTCTAAAGGATTTTTTGCTCACTTCGGGCCTATCAAAACGCGGTTTAAAGTCAAAGGATTGACTCTGTAAAACACTGTACTAACTTACTGCACTGTATTGTAAGTACTGTAACAATACAATTGTATTTTACTTTATTACTTATTTTTACTTCTTATTTTTTTATAAAAACACTTCTTCTCAAAAGTTCCTTTCTGACTTCTTCTACAGTATGGGATAGCCAGCAGCAAGTGCGTTATTGAACGTGAAACATTGGAACAAAACAAACACGAGTGTACACTATATTCTGAATACTTTTACTTTGATTAGCAATATATAGGCTGTGTATAATTACAAAAATTTAAACTACACATGTTACATATAGCTACCATTAATTAGGAATTCTAAAATGCACAGGAGTAGCAGATCATATGGCAAACATTTGCATTAACTTGCATATAAAGGCATTTTAAGCGTCCCGCAAATCCGCACGGCTCATTCACTCAGCCGTCTGTCCTATTAGATCCAGTGTTTTCTCCAGCGCCTGTGTGGCGTAGCAGGATTGTCCAAGACTTTCGCTTGGACGATCGGGGTTTGAGCCCCGGCCAATCCTCAATTTTTATTAGCGGGGGGAGTATATGAATCAGATTACTCCGTTACTGAATAAAGTTGCATTTTTTTCCTGCAGTTTGGTTGGTGCAGATTGTGAAGTTTACAACAGTTTACTACAGTCTAGCAACTATTTTAAATGTGTTGGCCTAATTACTAAGTATTTTTTATTTAACACTGGAGAAAACGTGCTCGGTTTTTGCTCGCCTGAGTGATAGGCTATGTGAAGATGTTTTGCATATGTGAAGATGAACTGGATTTTCGACATTCCTGTGGACTCGAGCCCTGGTCAATCTAGTTCAATACAGTTCAGAAACTAAGCAGACATTCATCAGCCAACTCCATTATATTTGTAAAACACGGAGAAAGAAAGTTTTCCCCCCATCATAAATTTGTATTAGCAATATCGTGAGAATGTGTTTTATGTTTAAAAGTGTCGCTACTGAATGCTATTCTGTCCTAAAGACAGAAGAGCCTGTGCGCATTAATTAGGAATTCTAAAATGCACAGGAGGTGCAGATCATATGGCAAACATTTGCATTAACTTGCATATAAGGCATTTTAAGACATTAAAAACAAATCTTCAGCTTCTAACTTAACCTCTATATATTAATTATAGTTTGTCATAGGCAAGGCAGGTTTATTTGTATAGCACAGTTCATACACAAGGCAACTCAAGGTGCTGAACAAAACGAGATAGAAACAGTCACACAAGGCATTGAAATCATGAATAATCACAGTACATTAAAAATAAATCCCTCAGTTGTATGCACAGCTAAACAGAACTGTTTTAAAACTGGATTTAAACATGTCTGTCTCACACTTCAATGAAGATTGTTCCAGATTCTAGCAGGATTAATCTGAAATGCAGCCTCCCTATGTTTAGTCCTGACTCTGGGGAACAGCAGGAGGCCAGTCCCTGTGCTCCTCAGAGTCCCAGCAGGAGGCCAGTCCCTGTGCTCCTCAGAGTCCCAGCAGGAGGCCAGTCCCTGTGCTCCTCAGAGTCCCAGCAGGAGGCCAGTCCCTGTGCTCCTCAGAGTCCCAGCAGGAGGCCAGTCCCTGTGCTCCTCAGAGTCCGAGTTGGTTCATATGGGACTAACATGTCACTAATGTAATGTATATAATGGGCATAGTTTCCCAGTACCATCAGTATTGACAAATCAGTGAATCATTAAGCATATTCTGAGCTTTAAAATGAGGCATAGGTCTGTGTTGGTGGAGCTGAGGTTTGACAATAGGAGGTTGTAGAGGCGCTAACTTCCAATGATAAAAATTGGTCAATTAGCATGTATCACAAGAGTTCAAAACAGTCCCTAATCAAAATCAAATGACACCGATCACAGGGCTGAAGCAGAGGATTTGTTTTTCTTCTAAACTCACTGTTTGGAGAAAACACTGGACCAGAGACAGATGTGTCTCTCACCATTCGCCTTTTTCAAAGTGTGGCTTATGGAATAATACACGGCTCACTAGTTTATGGCAGGAGTGACGATCTAAATAATAACCTGCAATAAGAAAAGTTCCATAAAGTAGCAGACCAGAACGAGAGAGGCCAGAGGGAGAGAAAGTCCAAGGGAGAGGGAGACCAGCGAGAGACCAGAGAGAGAGGCCAAGAGAGAAAGACCAGAGCGAGAGGTACCAGATAGATCAGCGAGGGACCAGAGAGAGAGAGAGAGACCAGAGAGAGAACGGAGAGAGAGAGACCAGAGAGTGGGAGACCAAAGAGAGAAAGACCAGAGCGAGAGGTACCAGAGAGATCAGAGAGGTACCAGAGAGATCAGAGAGGGACCTGAGAGAGAGAGTGTGAAACCAGAGAGACCAGAGAGAGAGAGAGACCAGAGAGAAAGAACAGAAAGAATGAGACCAGAGGGACAAAGACAATAAAATGGGAGACCAGCGAGAGAGACAGCAACCAGAGAGAGGGAGACCAGAGAGAGAGAGGCCAGAGAGCAACCAGAGAGAGGGAGACCAGAGAGAGAGAGGCCAGAGAGAGGAAGAGCATACAGTAGAAAGGAAGACCAGAGAGAGGGAACAACCAGAAAGAGAGAGCGACCAGAGAGAGGGAGACCAGAGAGAGACCAGAGAGAGACCAGAGAGAGACCAGAGAGTCCTCAAAAATTGTCTTCGGACTAAAACAAAGATAACTGTCATGTTATACCAGCGATTACATGATGTTGTTGGAGCCGGAGAACAGACTCACAGCGAGGGACCACTGTACACCACATTTTTATGAGAAAAAAAAGCTGGATCAATATGCTCTTGGCCCTGCCTCAACCCAACCCCTCTCTCTCTCTCTGGGTTCTGGGGGATGTCCCTTCAACATTCCTCACGCCTCATTCCAGCAGCATACGACGGCCTCAGCAGCACGACTCCACCCGCACGAGATGCCTCAGTCAGACGACGCAAACGCACCGGCTCCGAATGAAAGGCATCACCGAGAGAGCAGGGCTGCACCGTGTCAGGAAGCTACTCACTGATCCCACGGACTGATTGATGGTGTGGATCTCTCTCTGTGAAAAAAGGGCCTCCAGTCGCTCCTCCAGAACTTGTCAACTTGTCATTCAACTGGTTTCAACAAGCTCCACCGCTGTCGGTCAAAGGACGGCTATACTCGGGTGTAAAAAGTAGCAGACTCAAACGCTACCCGCACGAGAGATACTTGTTTATGTACTATTGATCATAGACTGTATAGAGACAGACAATGCTAACCCGCAAGCTCACAGGGCGGGGAGATTTTAGCTGAGAGAGCCAAAAAAGTCTCGTACTTTAAAATGTATTTCTGTGAGAGCCATAACATTTTTAATCTAATTTTTACTGTGACGATTTGGGATTTTTTTTTTTTAACCAGATCAAAACATTTATAGTGTAATATTAGTCTCAGTATATATTGTTTTGTTTACGATTTTTTTCAAGAGAGAGATCCTTTATTTGTGCCACAGTGGAGAAATGCCAGTGTTGCATCACTAGTTTCAGAACAGTATAGGAATCAGTGAACAATAACTCTTTACTGAAATAAGAAAAGCTCTAACTTTAACAAAATTAAGAAGCAAGAATCAAGTATAAAATCTCTGACTGAAGAAATCCAATACATAACACATTCTTCCTATTAATGCATACAAAATACTACTAATACTACTACTATTGTTAGCTACTTTTAGGTATTATTTAGGATTTATTTATTTTGTTTGTACGGATGGATGTGTCACTGTGAAATCAATGTTTTTTCAGTGACAATTGTTTACTGATTTTTTTCTGTACTTTCAAAGTTGTTTTATATGTACTTGTCTTGTGCACACTGGGGACTTTTAAAAATGTATCCCAATGTGGTTTTACTGCAAATGGCAAATGAATGAATCGGAATCTGTGTTTCTGCTCCTACTGGACACCTGAATTCCTCCCACAGGGATCAATAAAGTATCTATCTCTCTGCACTAAGATGTATCTGAGAGCCAGACTCCATCATCAGCCAATAAAACCCAAGAGGAAAGTGCTCCAGCTTCCCTTCGCAACGACAAATGCCCATAAAAGGAACTTGGCTCCTACTCGCTTTTGTTCTAATCGGCTGATACGTCACCAAAGCTAACATTATGCTAACGTCAGTAATCCAAACTCCTGAGATATGGTCTATGCTGTTGACGGTGGGATCCATTTATCACATCCAGCGAACCAAGTAAATTCTGGACTCTGAGAATGAAAAACAGTTTGCGTTTCTTTGGGAAACGTGAACGAGACGTGGAGTGTGTTTGTCCTTCAGGATAGTAGAACTTTAACCAGATGTTGCAACCAGTGAACTCGCATGGACTTCAGGACAGAGCATTTCTAGTCTCTGTTTTTTTTTTCAGAGAGTTCAATATTTGGACTGGTTTTTAATTCAATCCTCACCTCTGCTCGCTCTGGATGTGTTTGAAATAATACAGAAATATGGAGGATTTCAGTAATGATTTAATTATTGACTTAAGTCTCAAAAAATGCCACGTGTTGAGAGTTTTTATGATGAAATCTACTTTAATTTCCCTGTAGATTTATGAAAAAGTGGGATTTCAAATGTTCTAAATGTACTCAAACATCTGGGTGTGTAAAGAACCACTATTTATTTATTTAATTTCACATTACAGCGCAATTATTAATCTGATCAATTTTTTTATTGTGAAGATATAGACACACAGTACAAGTGCAGACGTACAAACAAATACAATAAGACCAACAAGATACAGTGTGTGTGTGTGTGTGTGTGTGTTTCAACTATAGGGCCGGGACTAAAACAAGTGAATTGAGATAAATAAATTAAACAAATATACCATATACATTTTTGTTTCCACATTTTTTTCCACATTCTGCACCACTGAAGACGACAAGAGCCAGCAAAATGTATTATATTGGTAAATATCAGAATCCGTCTATTGCCATGTGAGTAACAAGAAGTCACAAACTAGAAAATTGCTTTGGCTCTCGGTGCAAACGAGTTAAAGCAGAATAAACTCAAGAAGGCATGCCTGAATAAATATTATATAGCTACATTTAATGGCAACGATGGCACTGGACTGTTGGACTTGTTTGTTGTTTAAAGGTATATTGGAGATTTTCCCACATTTTTTGAAAGAACCGCCCTCTCCACTTTTTGAACAAAACTGTCTGGTCTTATTGGGCGAGCACGTATCAGCAGAATGATTGACAACTGGGAGGACCAATAGTCTTGATGATCCACCCGGAAGTAGAAAAACCTCCTTTAAGCGTCTATTTCAGTCCTTCTTCAATGTTACAGTAAAAAACCATATGAAAAAAATACTTCTCACCGTTCTCAAGTCAAATACTTACATGTGATTAAAATGTGATTAATTCATTACAAAGCCTCTAACTAATACGATTCTTTTTTCTTTTTTTTTGAGTCTTGGCCCTAATATTAAACTCTATGGTCCAGCAAAGAAACAGGAAAATAAATCTTTGTGAGAATGTGGACACTGTTTAGAGCAGACTGAACCCAGACACCTTCCATCGAGGCTATAAATGAGTCTCTGCACCGCAACAGAACGGGCCGTCTCAGGGAGTACTTTACTTCATGAAGAGTAAGGTTTGGAGTACTATGGTAGTTAGCCCTTTAAAATCAAGTCCTTGATGAAAGCAACGTATTTTTTTTTATGTTCTTATTTTAGGCCTTTATCCAATGGTTGAGAAGCCAAAACCAAGTGAGATGCTCCAAAGAGGTATGTTACAGTTTCAAGCTTAAGCAGATATATTGACTCAAAATCTACCAAATGGTTAATGTTACTTCATCCATTTTTGACTGAAATTGTTGAGGGGGGTTTACTAATCCCAATTTAGCTCCTATGAGTGGATGAGTACACAACGCTTTCAATTCTAGAGCCCCTCAGGAACTCTACCTCTTCACTTTCTCTGTCTTGTCAAAACATTGTGAACATACTTAGAGTGACGTTGGTTCGGCAGCTGCCCGTGTCGTCTCTGGGCCACTGCACTGGAGGAATGAGGGCGAGGGAGGCATGTTTCCAGGAGGCGGGACTAGAGTAGAGCACATGGTTTTTTTACTACAGCCGCTGAAGCTACTGCGAGGCTACCGGACAGTTTACCCATTAGCTTACACAGTCCAGAAACCAGCCACTGTCCGCCAGATCTGTTTAGCTGTGCATAAAACTGAAAGATTGTACTGTGATGAATTATGATTTGAACGCCTTGTATTATTTCAACGTTATTTTAATGTTATTGTCTCGGTCTGTTAACCTTTAACATGTTGCACACTTCTGTCTTTTTGCACAATCTGAGTGACTCTATCTACGCCAAATGTGACATGCACATTTCTCCAGTTATCTGATCTTATCTTAAGCACTTTGAGCAATACAAATACACCTGACTTGCTACTAATAGAATAGAAGAATAGAATCTACACTTGAATGGTGTAAAACATGTGTTAGAATGGTCCAGTCAAAGTCCAGGCCTAAATCCAATAGAAAATCTGCGGAAAGACCTGAAAACTGTTCACAAACGCTCTCCATCAAATTTGTCAGAGTTAGAGTTGTTTTATAAAGAGGAATGGGCTAAACCTTCTGTTTCTAGATGTGCAAATCTTGTAGAGTCATGCACCTAAAGACCTCCACAAAGTATTAACTCATGCTGTATGAAAACTTGTGCAGGCCCAACTTTTCGGTTTTCTAATATTTGAAAAATAACAGGATCACGCTGCAAGTGCAAGTGATAAAAAAGTCCAAAAAAAAAACTTGAATTAGGCAAAATGAATCTACTTTAAGCACATTTTGACAGCCTTAAAAACAAGATTCACCAAAGGGAAAAGAAAAAATATTTTGTTTCAGAAAATATCAAAGAAATTTCCCTCTTGGAATGAGAAAATAAAGCAACAGTTTTTGAGATAAAACTAAATGGCTTTGTCCCGTTGGAGAATCTGGTTTTAAGACTGTCAGAATGAACTCAAATTAGGATAAAAGACACTTGATTAAAGCAATAAATAACTCATATTTGATAACTTTTTGCAGCGTGTATCAGTTTGCTTTCACTTCACAGTTGTCTGTTACTTGTGTGTGAACGTTCAGCATAAAACTCAAAATAAAACCTTTACGTTTATGGTTGTAAACATGTAAGAATGTGCAAAAGTTCAAGCTGTATCCATTCTCTCACAAAGACACTGCTCATGTCAGAAATCCGTCACAAAGTTGGTCAGAGGTGCCGTTACCACCGTAGAGGTGTGTTCTGCGCCTGTACCAGCACCTGTACCAGCACCTGTACCAGCGCCTGTACCAGCGCCTGTACCAGCGCCTGTACCAGCGCCTTTACCTGCGCCTGTACCTGCGCCTGTACCTGCGCCTGTACCTGCGCCTGTACCTGCGCCTGTACCAGCGCCTGTGCCAGCGCCTGTACCAGCACCTGTACCAGCACCTGTACCAGCACCTGTACCTGCACCTGTACCAGCGCCTGTACCTGCACCTGTACCAGCGCCTGTACCAGCACCTGTACCTGCGTAAATGACTGACAGTTGTGTGTTTACATTCTGCAGGTTCAAAGCCGTGTGTTCCGCAGCGCCCGGGGAAACGCTCAAACATCTTAAAGCGTCAACGAGCTGCGATCAGCGAGAACATGTGGAGCCTGTGGACATTTAAGAAAGAGAGAGAGAGAGAAGCAAACAGACAGAACCGGATAACGCCTTTTGGGTCAGTGAGGAGAATGATGACAAGAATTTAAGTTTGTACTGTAGTTTTTATTGTCTTTTCTTCAAGCCAAACCCCCAGACTTCCAAGATTATAAAATGGTGTTTCTTAAAAAAATACCGAAAACACAAGAAAGATTAAATAACCCCATTAGATTGCGGGAGAAATTAGACAAGAAATATAGCCCCATTTCCACCACCCCTACTTGGCCCTACTCTACTCTACTCTACTCTACTCTACTCTACTCTACTCTACTCTACTCTACTCTACTCTACTCTACTCTACTCTACTCTACTCTACTCTACTCTACTCTACTCTACTCTACTCTACTCTACTCTACTCTACTCTACTCTACTCTACTCTGAATAATCATATCTTAAATATGAAACCACATGTGTCCACTGTCACTTTACTTAGCACTTTAGCCCATTTAGCTCTAACTTGTGATGCAACACTGAATTTTCCCCGCTGTGGGACAAACAAAGGATCTCTAAATCTTAATAATTAATAAGAAAAAGGTCATGCTTAGGCACCTTCTCCAAAAAAATTACTGTACCATCAAAACTGAAAGGTACAAGAAGGTCCTGTGTTTGATTCCATCTTTAAACAGGGTCTTTGTGTGTGAAGTTTGCATGTTCTACCCGTGCCTGCATAGTTTTCGCCTACCGCCAAAACATGTGAAATAATTCCGACATGAGTCTCCTGTATAGTCAATAGTCGACTGTGAAAGCGACTGTATAAATGACTAGAACCTATAACAAAAGACCAGAAATCGACCCAAATAAAATTTATCCCTAAGCTTTTTAGTTCTCTGATCTTCACCGAGAGAGAGATTGTGCTGAGCCGCCACAATCGTAGCAGAACTCTCTATGGGTCCAACATGTAATTTCCCCCATGACCAAAAACCCAGACCTTTGGCTGCGATAAGTGCATTCATTGAATTTGTGCCCAAGAAGAAGCAGCCTGACAGTAAATTATATACAGGGAAAGAAAACTGGCAGCAAAGACTCCAAAGTAGAAAAAAAAAAGTCTTGGATCGGGTTGAGCACTGAAATCTAAGCTATTTCATTATCAACAAAAATATCCGGTATCACTTAAGACTAGGACTCAGCAAATGGGTGTATAATGTATGGTTAAATAGATCTTAATTGGTATTTACTAAGCATTTATTAGTCCTTATTCAACATATAATTAACTACTAATTGACACTTTCCCATGTGGGCTACGCTTAAGGTTTGGGTTAGGGCTAGGGCTTGGTTTAGGGCTAGGTTTTGGGTTAGGGTTAGGGCTAGGTTTAGGGCTAGGTTTAGTGTTAGGGCTAGATTTGGGGTTAGGGCTAGGTTTGGGGCTAGGGCTAGGGCTTGGTTTAGGGCTAGGTTTAGGGTTAGGGCTAGGGTTAGGGCTAGGGCTTGGTTTAGGGCTAGGTTTGGGGTTAGGGTTAGGGTTAGGGCTAGGTTTAGGGTTAGGGCTAGATTTGGGGCTAGGGCTAGGTTTAGGGTTAGGGCTAGGTTTAGGGTTAGGGCTAGGGTTAGGGCACACAAACTAGTACTTAATTAGCTGATGATTAGTGAGAGCTAATCTTAAGTCTAACCAAATATGCCATTTTAACTTTTACGATCACATTGTCTCATATCGTGCAGAGGGGCCTTTCGACAGTTTCCTTTTACAGTATTCTTGATATTCCAGATTCAGTAATGTATTCTCATCATAGCAAAAACAACTAAATTAAATGTTTAGCATCATTGTAATTGTAGAGCATGTAAAGTGCAGAAGTGGGCGGATATAAACAGCACAGGACTAGAGGAGGTAGATTGGCAAAAACAGTAACAGGACGTACTGTAAGTGAGTATGTTAGCTAGATGTTTACATAAAGCTGGGTTCGAATCCCTGTCGGAACAGAGCCTTTCTAGGTGGATGATGCATGTTCTCCCTGTGTCTGCGTACATTTCCTCCACATGCTTTGGTTTCCCCATCCATCCATCCATTGTCTTCACCTTAATCCACTTCTGGGTCACAGAGCACCAGCCCCAACCACTAAAAATATGCACAAAAAGTCAAATCCTCCAGCTCTGGTCCTGACCAAGAGCATCAACATCTGGAGATGGGGGACCTCTGCTCCCTGGAGGCCTTGCAGGACGAGTAAATGCAGAGGGCAAAAAAAAACAACTTAACTTAACAACCTCAGTGCTACAGCGACCGTCTCTGCGCCCCAATCTAACTGTACATCACATAAAAGTCACTACAATTCATAAAACACTGTACTGTAAATCGCAGTCTTGACATTTTCAAAGATACTACAGGGACGCCCGCCTTCCCCTGCACCCAACTTCAAAGAACGGTTCAAAGTCGGGCTAGAATTTCATTTGAACAAGTCCCTTTGAGCTCGGCAAATCCACACTAACAAACTGCGGGAGAGAAAGAGGGAAGGCGGCATTTTATTTCTTTAATGGCAAGTGCATCGTGTGACAATGAGGAAAACTAAAATAGAATAATCCAGATAGCAACCAGAGTATAAGGACATGATGTACCCACAAGCTTCGAGAGAGAGACGGATGGAAGAGGGGAGTAGTGGAGGTGAATGGGAAATACAGAGCCCTGCAGTGGATCAAGTTGGAATCATGATAAAGCCAATCATTTCAGATGGCCAATTATTTGATTTGGGGTTTTCGAATTCAAGGTTCAACTTTAAAGTTCCTGAGGGGAATGTGTCTTAGAATCACAGTCACTGAAAATGGCAAAAAAACTGATTTGTCACAACATATATCAACACAAGATATGCCATAATACTAAACAGTCCTTTTAAAGTGCTTGTGTAAGAAGTGCCAGAATACAAATCCACATAACAGATATTACAAAATTATTCACAGATAATTACATACAACACATACAATCTAGAAATTTGGACATTTTAACTATTAATTTTCTCAATGGGAGATATGTGCACAGAGGTTTCCGAAGCTACAAACAAGCAAACAGAAAGCCTGGACAGTAATGGAATACTGACACAATGAGAGAGGGAGAGCAGCTCTAGAGGAGGTGATGAATGCGTTCATTAAAGCGGCATTAGCGAGGTGTGAACCCGGCCGACACTTCCAGTCCTCAGCCGCTGGCACAGTCCAACACAAAGATTCAATGGAGGACGAGTCTTTGATGCGTGCCAGCACCGAATGCACGACTCCAGCGGCTTTCAGGCCACAGCACAAGACGGATTCATTCTGTGCTTCCGAATCCCTCATTTATTCTCATCCTGGAGAGGCTCCGGGAGGTCTTCACGGCGGCTATGGTCCAAACATCGTGCAGGCGAATTATAATCACTTAATCAAGCTGCGTTTCTCCTCTGCAATCACAGGCCGCGCTTTTGAACTTAAATCAATTGGTAGAAGTCTATTGAGATTGTTATTGAGTCAGTTTTATCGCTGACATGTGACGCAATGAGGTCTGAGCATGGATGGACATGGATATTAGTGGCTAAGTGATTGGCAAAGACAACCAGGGTCCTTATTCAAAGTGCACGACAACGGAAAACGATGTAGTTCTAGCGCCCGGCCAGTAGGGGACAGTGGAGGTTTACAACACAAGTATAATCACTTCCTCAACAACATCCTCCTCAGGCCGCCGCAAAGATGTGAAAGAATGAACCGACATCATTCGGAAGTTGACAGCAGCAGCGAAAATAGAAACTTAATACTAGAGGTCTGCGTGATTTTGTTTGGATGAAGAAGTAGAATTTCTCTTAGTTAGCATTAGCTGATCCGCCGCCATTGCTAACAGATGTCGACATTTTTTATTTTTTTTGTCAGTACAGAGGTCCACCCAGGCGAGCAATATCAACCGTGAAACCAAGTCCGGAGAATCCACAAAATATTTTATTTTCACAGGTTGAAATGTGATTTACAGAATAGCAGCTGCAGAACTCTCATTTAGGAATGTGCGGTAAAGGCTTTTAGATAGCATTTTTTTTATATTTTATCATCTTGAATTTTGTATTATTTTTTCAGATTTTTCTTTCCATAATTTGATTTTTTTTCTCGCAATAATAAATAAATATAGATTATTATTAATTTGTTATACAGTATTTTATATTAATTCAATGCATACAATTACAATACTATTAGTTATAATATAGGAAATATAGATGCATCACTAGTGTTGTATTTTTGTTCAAAAGGGGCGTTAGATAAGGGGGAAAAACCTTGATTTTTCACTTTTTCAGGTTAAAACAGTTCTGTTTAGCTGTGCATACAACAGAAGGATTTTATCTTCACTCTTTATAATGTACTGTGATTATTCATGATTTGAATGCCTTGTGTGACTTTAATTTCTTCTGTATTGTTTTGCACTTATGAGTTGCCTTGTGTATGAACTGTGCCATACAAACAAACTCGCCGTGCCTTGCCTGACCTGTATCGTTTGTAAAGCAGCCATATCGAATTCTCCTGTATCTAGACATGTTTTGTGTTGTGTCATGCCAGCCCTAGTCACATGTACACGGTCCATAACAAAGGAATTCAATCAGAAATACAGTAGAAACTTGAAAAGGAGCAAACGGCCGGGTGTGAGACCGGGGCTGGGGGCATGGAGCAATAACCTGATTACCGCGGCCTACAGGAGACGCACATTTACATTATTTGGTTCTTATTTTCCCCGGCGCTCCGCACAAACCAGAGAAATGGGGGCAATTCTGTAACCCTGGCAACCGGAACTGCAGAGGAGAGGAGATGGAGACTGAGCGGAGGGTGTCAAACAGACTGGTGCCGAGTGGATAAAAACTGACGAGGCCTTAAAAACAATTACAACTGATTAAAGGAGGGGGCGATAAAT